CGCGCATGCGGTGAGGCAATGCTGTAGTCCAACATCGATCCGGAGCCGGTGGTGCAAGTGTGTTCCACGTCTGTCGGGACTACTGGGGCCCCCCAATCATGGTGGGCCACCCTGACTGCATCAGGGTAGACGGTGGAACATTCCAATCAGCAAAAATGGCCCACGGGATGTCCAAGCTCTTGAAACTGCCCAGGATCGCGAGCTTCTGAAGGTTGATGCCTCGAATGCCAATGGAGCAGGTAAGGTATACCGCCACGATGCATATCGAGGTGCCGTTGATCTGCCATACGATGGGAACACAGTCGTGGAAATCGACGTTCCCCTAGGTGGAGGCGAGGTCTCTCATGCCGATCTGCTGCGCCATATTCGTGGCGAGGTGCCTGAAGGAGGGGGTGGTGAAGGTGTTCTTCGTTCCCACAACCGCGCCTCCAGAAAGCTTGGCACGGTCAGTCGGCCTGGCAGGCGCGCAGATAGCCTTGTAGCCATTCTTGCTCCAGTGCCGAAGAAGGTCATCAGAGTGATCCTCGCCAGCATGAGTCTCCACTAATAGGATACCGTCGTCGTGTCGTTCATCAATGAGGCCTCTGGCTGCAGGGCCCCAAGTCGAGAGATTGCGAAAGTGAAGGTGCCAAGTCTTCTCCGTCTGAGAGTGTTCTGGGTGCTGCTTACTCTTGTAAGTGACAGTAGCGGAGCCGCCAGCGCCAGTGACATATTCACCGACCATGCTTCCATCATGGGTATGGCCAGGAGCTTGATCCGATCTGCTGCTGTCTGCGGGCGAGCTCCTTCTCGAAAGCGGCCGTTGCCGAAGGCTCCTGGGGGGCTGAGGGCGCAAGCGGCGTTCCCTCGGCCGCTGGAGTCCCAGCGGCTCCAGGGGCAGCCCCTCCCCCTGGCGCGGCCTGGGTCTCGCAATTGTTGTCCTCGGCTCGGCGTCGCTTGGAGGCTAGTCGATCCATCTGCTGCTGGTGAGCGGCTCGCGCCTCCTTGGCCTTGGTGGCCGCATCAGCAAAGAGCTTCTTGGCGCCCTCCTGGAGGCCCTTGACGAGGGCCTCCCGTCGTTCCTCTGCTCGGCGTAGTTCGTCATCGCCCAGCCCCTCCTCTCCGCCCATGGAGAAAACATCGCCAAGCTTGTCCTCAAAGAGAGCCGAGAGGGAGAGTGTGGGCTTGGGTTCAGGAGCAGGAGTAGCTGAGCGAACCGAGGCTGCCACCTTGTCGTATTCGGCCTGCAGCAAGTCCAGGTGGGTCTTGAGCGAGACCACGTGCTCCCAGTGCTACTCCAGGTCCTGTTGCCACTTATGGTACTTGTCCATGGTCCTCTTGAGTTTGCCATCTTGATTGTTGAGGGCCCAGCGTGCCTTTGAGAGACGGGTTTCGAGCGGTGGCTGCGGAGGAGGGCCTTTGTCGAGCTCGTCCAACTTCTTCTGGCACGCCTGGGCAAGATGTGTCTGGCCGCACTTGGTAGATGAAACCAACACTGCCACCAACTCACCGCGCTCGAGCAGGGAAGCCTCAACCTCAGGGAGAGTGGCGGGGGGGCCATTGGCCCTCTTGGAGCTCGGGTCGACCGCTCTCCCATTGTCTGAGGCGTGAGTGATGTCGTTGGGCTTCCACTCACCACAGTGCTTGCACCACTTAGAGGATCCTGGATTCTTCGCGCCTGCGGAAGCAAGAGCAGCAGAAGGAGCCATGGCGCCTTGGTGTAGGATGTCGTGTCCGAAGCCGTGATGAAAGTGGCCTGATGGCTCAAAGCCCAGATTGGGCGAAGCTGTGTGGCCTGGCGGCTCGCGCAGCGGAGCGATGAAAGAAACGAAACTGGCCGCGGACTAGCGGTATCCACTCGTTTCCGCTGGGAAACCAAAACCTTGAGCCAAACTGGCTTGAGCCAAAATGGCTACGGGAACGGCCCCAGAGGCCCACAAGACGGCCCCAAGAGGCCCCCAAGACGGCCCAGCAGGCTTTTGAGACGCCCAGGATGGCCTCCAAGACGGCCTCTTGACATTCCAAGAGGGCCCCAAGTCGGCTCACAGAGGCCCCCCAAACGGTTTCCGACGGCGTCGGACGGGCCAGGGGCCCACCAAGACGGCCGAAGATGGCACTAAGATGGCCCAAGACGGCCCAAGAGGCCTCCAAGAGGGCCTCCAGGAAGGCCCGAAGAGGCCAACGTCATTGATTCCCCATGAGTTTTTGAAGGATTGTGGCATTTGCTGATTTTCGGCCTTCCGGCGGCCCGAGACGGCCCAAGTGCCCCCAAAGATCGCCCAAGAGGCCCATGACGGCCCCAAGAGGCCCCCAAGACGGCCCAAGAGGCTTCCAAGACGCTCAAGATGGCCTCCAAGACGGCCCAAGAGCCCTCCAAGACGTCCTCCAAGAAGGCCCGAAAGGGTCAAAATGGCCTCCAGGCGGCCACGATGACCTTCAAGATGCCCACGTGTTCCCCGAAGGCTTTCCAAACCGATTCGGGGAACACATGGTCCGATAGCTTGGCAGGTCTGGCCTCAACGTTCGGCCACATAGGCGCTTCCAAAAAGGCAGGGGGCGGCGGCGATTCGCCGTAGGCGTCTTCGATCCGCCGCCCCCTGTCGATTCATCGCAGGGGTGCCTGGCGTGCTGCATCCTTTCGTTTTTTTTTGTTATTGTTTTCTCTTCTTCCTTCCAAAAGAACTCCCACTGGGCCTCCGGCGCGTCCCGCCGACCACCCGAAAAGAACCTCAGTCCCAAACGCTTCACTCAAGATGGCCCAAGATGGCCTCCAAGATGCCTCCAAGACGGCCGCGATGGCCTCCATGTCGGCTAAGATGGCCCCAAGATGCCTCCAAGACGGCCCAAGATGCACTCAAGACGGCCTGAGATAGCACCAAGATGGCCCAAGACTGCCCGAGAGCCCCCTAAGAGGGCTCCAAGACAGCCCACGAGGTCTCCAAGAGGTCCTCCAGGAGGGCCCGAAGAGGCCAACACCATTGACTTTCCTCAGGTTTTTGAAGGGTTTTGGTATTTGCCTCTTCTCGGCATTCCGACGGCTCAAGACGGCCCAAGAGGCCGCCAAGATCGCCCCAAGATCGCCCACGAGGCCTCCAAGAGGGCCCCATGACGACCCAAGAGGCCTCCAAGACGGCCCCAAGAGGGCCCCAAGACGGCCCAAGAGACCTCCAAGACGCCCAAAATGGCCTCCAAGACGGCCCCGAAGCGCCCCAAGAGGACCCCAAGTCGGTCCGGAGAGGCCACCAAGACGGCTTCCGACGGCGTCAGACGGGCCCGGAGCCCACCAAGATGACCGAACTTGGCTCGAAGCTGGCCCAAGACGGCCCAAGAAACCTTCAAGAGGGCCTCCAGGAAGGCCAGAAAAAGGCCCAAAAGACTGAGTTTCCGTAGGTTTTTGAAGGATTCTGACATTTGCTGCTTCTTTTCCGCCTTCCGACAGCCCGGTACGGCCCAAGAGCCCCAAAGATCGCCCAAGATGCCTCCAAGATGGCCCCAGAACGGCTCCAGAGGCCCCCAAGACGGCCCCAAGAGGCCGCCAAGACGGCCCAGGAGGCTTTCGAGACGCCCAAGATGGCCTCCAAGACGGCCTCTTGACATTCCAAGAGGGCCCCAAGTCGGCTCACAGAGGCCCCCCAAACGGCTTCCGACGGGCCAGGGGCCCACCAAGACGGCCGAAGATGGCACTAAGATGGCACAAGACGGCCCAAGAGGCCTCCAAAAGCGCCTCCGGGAAGGCCCGACAAGGCAAAAGTCATTGATTCCCCATGAGTTTTTGAAGGATTGTGGCATTTGCTTGTTTTCGGCCTTCCGGCGGCCCGAGACGGCCCAAGTGCCCCCAAAGATCGCCCAAGAGGCCCAAGACGGCCCCAAGAGACCCCCAAGACGGCCCAAGAGGCCTCCAGACGCTCAAGATGGCCTCCAAGACGGCCCAAGAGCCCTCCAAGAAGTCCTCCAAGAAGGCCCGAAAGGGTCAAAATGGCCTCCAGGCGGCCGAGATGACCTTCAAGATGCCCACGTGTTCCCCGAAGGCTTTCCAAACCGATTCGGGGAACACATGGTCCGATAGCTTGGCAGGTCTGGCCTCAACGTTCGGCCACATAGGCGCTTCCAAAAAGGCAGGGGGCAGGTGATTCGCCGTAGGCGTCTTCGATATGTTGACTCGGTCAGGACGGGAATATAGCATCAACGGAATCTGGTGGCGCGCACGCGCGGGTGGGATGTGGGGCGGTGCAGAACTTCCAAGAAGTCAGAAGGGTCCTGCCAGGTCCTGCCCCTTCTCCGAGGCTCCTCACGGGGCTTCTGAGATGGCAGGGGGGCTTCTGAGAGGCAGGGTGCCTGCTCATAAGACCGCCCCTCGTACCCCGTCCCTTTCTTCGGCGATGCGCAGGGGTGACCCTTGGCACGAGTGACCTTTGGTGCGACTCTGGAGGGCCGCGGGGGGGCCGAATGCAAGCGCACAAGCCAGTGCGGTAGGGACCCTTGTGGGCCTGTGCACCCAACGGTCAATCAGGCGAAATGTCGCCTGCGCACCGCCGACATCTCCACGTGGGCTCTCAGGGTTCCCAAGGACCTCCGCGCCTCGAGTCCTCCTCCTCCTCCTCCTCCTCCTCCTCCTCCTTCTGCCTCCTCCCCCTCCTCCTCCTCCTCCTCCTCCTCCACCCGCCCGCCACGGCGCCCGAACCCCCCGACGCTTGATCTTCTCGTCCGCAGGGCCCCGGGACAAGTGTTTCGCCAGGGGGGCCCGAGAATTGGTGGTCCTCGGGGCCCGAAAACAGCCCCAATGGCGAGCAAAGTGCTCGTCATGAGATTTTCACGCCGCATGGAGGCACGTTCGAAGCTTTGCCACACAGAACCTTGGATAAGGGACGGTGCCCCGCTGGGGCCTCAGCTGCGCCCAGATGCGCGAGGAACGCCAGGGAAAGACCCACGGAAACACATCGTGAACATCGGGCCCCTCTCGAAACAGAAAGTGGGCCCCAGAGGCCTGAGTGCATGTCGCGTGGGGGGCGCGCGCCCGACGCCTCCGGCGGGAGCCACAGGCTGACCCCCAGGAGCAGGGAGGCCCGCAGACCGCCTCCGACCGCCTGGCGGTCGCCGCGCGCCGGCGGGCTGGCCGAGGGGTCCATGCAATGCGGGGGGGCGCCCGGCGGCGTGTCCCGGAGGGCTGGCTGGCCAGCTGGATGCCCGCAGGGCCCCCTTCCAAGGGTTCAGCCCGTGAGCTCCGGAATTCGTGGGCCCCTTCTGCGGGGGCCAGATTGTCCTGTTGGATCGTTCCCGGAGGCCTTGGGGCCTGAAAGCGGCACAAGGAGCGCGATATCTGAAAAACGCTGGCGCGGGCGCTGGGCCTCAGCGAGCTGGCCGGCCAGCCGAACACCCGCCAGGCCCCCTCTGCTCTCTCTAACTCTCTTGCTCTCTCTCTCTCTCTCGCGCGCCTCGGTGCTCGCTCCTTCCTCTCGGTCGCTCTCTCTGCTGCTGCCCCTCCTCCTCTTCCTCCTCCTCTTCCTCCTCCTCATCCTCCTCCCCCTCCTCCTCCTCCTCCTCCTCCTCCTCCTTCTCCTCCTCCTCCTCCTCCTCCTTCTTCTGCCCTCCTTCCCCTCCCCCTCTCGCTCTGCCCCGCTACACTCTGGAGCTCCCACAGAGCTGGCTGGAGAGCTCTCTCCTCCGCTCCACCTGCGGGACTGCAGCAGGAACTGCTTCACGGCCGCTGCCTGGGCACCCGTGGCCTCGCCCTCCTCTCCCGCCCCCCCCCCCTCTTTGCGAAGCGGGGACTTCTCCATCACCACGGCCTGGGGGGTCGATCTTTGAGGACCCTGGCAGACGGTGGATATTCCTTTCCTCTATTTTTAACGATCCGCGGGGGTAGGAGAACCCAGCCCCCTAAACGAACCCTTTCGGATACGTGGCCCCAGGGGCGCCCTGGACGCCCCTGCAAGCGGTTCCCTGGGCCTTTCGGGGCCCCAGGGAGCCCTGCCGACGGCCCTGTGCGAGCCCCGAAGGCCCCAGACGCCCACCAAACGCCCAAATATGAACCACAGAAGATCCCCGAAAGGCATCTGAAACGGAAGACAACAATATTTTCCACTGGTATTTCTATGCTTTTGGGCATGCTCTGCCTTTCGGGCTTGCAGAGATCCAAAGACTGCGCCGGTCTTGCAATCGCAGCATCGTGTCGGCACCATCTGCGCGACATTCAACACATTACATCATGTGTGGCGAATGATAGATCGAGGGAAACGTTCCGGAGGGCAAGAGTTCGGTGGGCGGATGTCGCCGTCCAGAATTCCTCAGCGGCCTCCTTCGTCCACTTACTTCAACCGCAAGCGCCCCGCCCAATTTTTCTCGAAACGTCAAGCATCAAACGTGTCTTCGCTCATGGTTGCTTGCCGGACTGGGTCCGACGGTGCTGTGTTCAGGCAGTTTTGATGCACTTTCATATTTTCTTGGTAGCGGCTGGGAGGCACTGCGTGTTCAGCTGTTCCTGCGGCAAGACAATTCTGGCTCGCTCGTCCGAAGACGAGAACATCCGTGTTTGCCCGGCTCGCACATTTCGTTGTGCCTTCTAAGGTCTTGTGAAGGCCCCTCGTTGGCAGCGTCAGCCCGTCTGCTCCTGGCTTGCGCGAGCCGCGCGGCGGCCTGCCCTGGCAAGGGCTTCGATCGAACTGTCGCGTCGGCGGCGGACGCCTTTGAGCGAGTGGGATAGCATCGTGGCGAATACCTGTGAGATGCGGGCATTGACTTCTTTGGTGATGTCGCCCCTGTTCCGAATCGTGCGCCCCAGGTGCTTGACTTCCTCTTTGACATCAGCGGGATTCCGATCGCGAGATTGATGCTTGGGCTGGAACGCTTGTCTTATGCTGGGCAGCTGTTCGTTCCGCGACGGCTCGGCTCCTTCCATCTCGACCTTGGACTGTGTGACGCGGCGAATGCTTTGTACTTCCTTGATCAACTTCGGGTGCGCTCCCATGCGGTCCACAACGTTCTAGAGACTCTCTCGCATAACCTCACCGAGCACTTTTCCCCAATCGAGCAGCACCTTCAGCGCCTGCTGGTTAGCAGCTTCGCCCACCTCGGCGAATCGTTGCGTGCAATGCGTGGCGTGCGTTCTTACTTGCGCCGTCGACAGCCAAACTGCGTGCTTTGAACGTGCGGATCAGTTTGTTCCTCAATGCGCTTCTGCACGATTGCAACATCTAGCATGTCAGCACGATTGAGGAGAGAGATCGGCCTTTAATTGACAAATTTGCCGGTGTCTCCCTTCCTGAAGATAAGAGCGTCGCGAGCCGGAGCTACGCAGGAAGGCACTGCTTCAGAACGCCACCGCTCGTTAACCAATCTTACGAGTTTGGCCAGGTCGGTGTCGTAGCTCTTTTAAGGCCGTCATTGGGATGTTATCTGGCCCGGGAGCTTTTCGCGTTTTGCACTTTGTCGAAACACCGCGCGCGCCCCAGTCAGGGTGACACCCCCAATTCTGTAAGGCAGGAGATGCTGCGCTATCTTGGTGCGTGGCAGCGCCGAGACTGGGGCGGCATCTGCCGCTGGTTCTTCCTTATTGGGAGCATGCTTTGCGGCCTCTTCTGCCATCTGGCATTTTGGTGCACTTGTGCCGTGTGCTGTTTTGAAACTGCACGGTTTGGCTACGTAGCCTGTCTTGAGCTGTCGAATGCCAAACTGCACGTCCAGGGTGCTGAGGTCCTTGCTCACAGCTTCACTGATGCACTCCTGGCTGTCTCGGTTTTCCTTTTCTGGAAGTCCGTGATGTGAAGACTGTACGCTTTTATGTCATGACAGAGCAGAGCCAATCTGCGTGTTCAAATAGCTTCAACGTGCTTGCAATCATTTTCTTTTGCTCTGGCTTGCTCGGCGCTCTCGGGATGCTGGGCAACGAGACTTCCGCCAATGCTGCTTGGACTGTCGCCGTGGTAATCGTGCAGTTGCTGTCGCGATTTGCCATGATACTTGATCGTTGAATGCTTCAAGCTGCTCCTGCGTGCAAGGCAGATACTTCGCCTGGGGTGTTTTCGAGTTCGCGAGAGGCGCGCGCATCCAGTAACCTGGAGCGGTCTGCGGTCCGAATGATGCTCTTGATCGGACCCATTTTGCATTTAAGGGCTGCTAGTCTCTATCTCCAGCCAACGAAAAGAGAGTCTTTGATTTCGCGCTGCTGCAGGATGTACGAGCTATTGAATGTGGCACCAGGTTCTTTGTACGGGGCTACTTTTTTCTAGCCCGATGTGTTGCTAAGAACCAGATCGCGATCCACACGAAAGCTCCGACATCACTGCCTGTTGTAAACCGACTCTGCGTTACGTTGGCGAGGGTTCACGTGCTCTAGGTCGACAGTGTGCTGGTCGACTACTGTTTTTCCGGTGTCATCCAAAGCGATGTGCATTCGTGCCTTGAAGTCGCCTAGGATCAGCGCCGGGCCTTTGTTTAGATCTCGGCTCCATGTGCGCGTGCGTTAACACGAACTTTATATTTCTCAGTCTCTGGGCGCACGGCAGTCGGTGCTTAGACGTTTATAAGTGTGACTTGCGTTGCCTCTTGCCTCAACTCCAGCAGTAAGATTCGGTCCGGCAATGGGAGTACTCTTTGTACGTATTTGCGATGTTGCTTGAAAATTACAAACCCACTCCTGTTGAGAAATGTCGTGCCTGCGTCATGCCTTCGCCCGCGGAATGTCAATGGTAATGTTTGAGGGTTGCTCGTATGTTGGTGCGTATGGGCGTTTCTTGGATCGCGCCGCGATTTCATGTATTTCCTTTTCCTTCGTTCTTGTTTCTATTTCGTTTCTTCTGGCAGCCTCTGCAAAGCCCTGGACGTTTGCAGTAGCTATGTGCAGCTTGCTACTAGGAAGCAATTTCCGCGTGCGCCGCCAAAGCTCTACTGATGGAGCGGGGGAGGGGATAGTTGGCCGTAGCCCGATCTTGTCGACGTGAACAGCGTTCTGCGGACTGGCACTCTCTTGCAATCCGAAACGCGTATATTGGTATGGCGAATATTGGATGATTCCCCACGTCTTATGTGGGTTTTTTGCTTTCTCTGGACACACCGCGCAGGAACAGGAGCATGAACGCACCCACCTCATCATCACTATCATCAGCAGCAGCAGCATCATCATTATTATCATCATCCTTATCATCACCATCATCGTCATCACCATCGCCATCATCATCATCATCATCATCATCATCATCATCATCATCATCATCATCATCATCATCATCAGCATCAGCATCGGCATAGCATCATCATCATCATCATCATCATCATCATCATCATCATCATCATCATCATCCCCCTCTTCGTCATTCACACACTCCCACACTCACATTCATCATCATCAATAAGTCCTTCAATTACTCACTCACCCACTCATCATCATCACCGTCATCGACATCACTTTCACACTTATTCGCACTCAAACGCAAACGCACTGACACACTCACACAGTCACACACACACACACACACACACGCGCTAATACATTCATCCTGAGGAAGTCCAAGGCGGGAGCCTCGTTTGTGAGTGAGTTGTGAGGAAAACCTCATGTGGGGCCCCCCTCCCCATGGGGCCCGCACTTCATGTTGACAATCGGAGCGGGCCATCCAAACCCTGTAACTATCGTCACTTTTGGGCCCCTCAAGCCGTCTGACGTCTCTGGGTGCTGGAAACGGCCCCCAGAGGCCGACGGTGGGGAGCAGCCTCCTTCCTTGTCCTCGTCCTCGTCTCCCTCTTTCTCCTCCTCGTCTCGCCTCCCTCCTTTTCCTCCTGCCCCCTAGCTGCTGTCTTCGCCCGGCCCCCTCCTGCCTGCCCGCCCGCCCCGCCGGCCCCGGCCTCCCGCCTGCGCGTCCGTCGCCGTCCGCCTGCTCCTCCGCTCCTCTCATCGGGAGCGGCCAAGAGGGGGGCGTCCAAGAGGGGGGAGCGCAAATCGTGGCTGGCGGCATGTGCGCGGCCCAGGGGCAAAGCCGGGGACGTGACGAAATAAGAAGAGGCGCCGTGAAATCCGGGGAAACATCATGGCCCACGCCAGGATATCCACCCCCCCACGCCATGCTATCCACCCCCGCTAGTCATCACCCCCCTCTCGGCCGCCCCCGATCTCACCCCCTCCGCCAGACAGCGCGCTAGAGCCAGTGGCGCGACGCGGAACCCGCCGCCCGGACCTTTCCCGGGACATGCACTGTCCCGCTTTGTCAGTGCGGTGTCGCCAGAAAAGTCCCGACCCCTTCCTCAGGACCGATGTTTCTCGTGCCGAGTCGTTCTGGCCAGAGGCGGCCCTGCCTGGGCCCTCGCGGCTATATCGGATGCCTGGGCCGTCGCCCGCCGTCCTCGAGCCAACCGAGGGGGAGGAGGAGGAGGAGGAGGAGGAGGAGGAGGAGGAGGGGGAGGAGGAGGAGGAGGAGGAGGAGGAGGAGGAGGAGGAGGGGGAGGAGGAGGAGGAGGAGGAGGAGGAGGAGGAGGAGGAAAAGGAGGAGGAGGAGGAGGAGGAGGAGGAGGAGGAGGAGGAGGGGGAGCCGCCGACGGGCCAGCGGCGGCCGCGGGCGGCGACACGCCCCCGCCTTTCGCCACGGCGGCAGCACCGCCCACTCGGCGTCCAGGGGCAGCGAGCAGACGCCGCGCCAGGGCGACAGGCCCTCGCCTTGGTCTCGCCCTCCTTCTCCTCCTCCTCCTCCTCCTCCTCCTTTTTACTACTCGGCCCGAGCTCACCCTCAACAATCTCTGATCGAAGGGGCAAAAGTGGACCCCTTGGGTCCGTGTAAACAATAATAATATTTGCACGTCCGTTACGCAATCAGGCAATCAGTCCCCACCATTCGGCGGTGGGCGTCTTAATTGGCCAGCTGGGGGAGAGCAGCCCTTTGGGCCCCCTGGGCCAGGGCAGTTTCCTCCTCCGCAGCAGCCCTAGCTGCTGCCGATTGATACGGTGACACGATTCCTGGAGCCCTTGGGTTTTAGTCCCCGCGGTGTAGTGGCCACAGCGCGAGCACCACACACACGGGACCCCCGTGGCCAATTGCCTGGCGACCAAGAGGCGGTGAGGGCGGGCGGGGGGAGGAGGGGGGGAAAGGAGGGGGAGGAGGGCAGGGGACAAAGAGTCGCAGGCACTGGCCTTGGCTCTAGCCAGGGTCTGAAATCCCCTGGCGCATCTGGAACACCTCCACCATTTCCCAGTCCAACGGAGCTGGTGGGCCTCGTTGTCCGCAACTCCAGACAAGTCCCTGGGGGCCCTTTGGACCTTCTCGAGGGTCCCGAAAAAGGTCCGTGGGCCTGGCCCGCAGGTTTAAAAGAGACATACAAACTGAGCACACACTGAACCAGAGCTTAGACAGACGCACATAATTATGGACATCTGACACGTCTGTACACCCCCTGGCGGCCTTTTTTTGCGGCTTCATCTGCTAATGTATTGCCCTCACTCAGCCAGCGATATTGCTGGTTCGCATCAACTCGGCTTGGTGCGTCGATGGTGTGGGCCTTCACCTTGGTTATCTCCCACGTGAAACCTCCCGCTGCCGTCCAAGTCCTGATCATCCTCCAAAATCCTCCGAACTTGTTGGCTGGCCCCGAACTGAGGCTCGTGTCATTGGCTCCCGTGATCAAGGCCGCGCAGTCTGCAAACAGGCTGGTCCGCTCGCGCCCTTTCAAATTACTTACACTTGCGAGGAGCCCAGAATGTTCTGCCATGACTGCTGACTGAGGGAGCCCCCGAGGTAGTGGACCTCTTATCCCCCTGATAAGTTCACCCAAAACAGTAACCTCCACCACCGCCCATCCACCCCTTGCAATGTCGTGTTCCTGGGGATGCATCACAGAACCGTCGATGAATAGGTTGTGGGTTGCCTCGAACATGAAGGGGGGATGGCCTCAGAATCGGCTCCGAAATAATTGCATTGAGCTTCTTAGGGGGGGGGGGGGGGGGGGGGGGGGGGGGGGGGGAACGGCTATATCTGGCTTTTCGCACCGCAGGGAAGCATGCAAGGGGTCCTCTGGGCTAGACGCCCTCCCAGCCTCCAGCACTTTTGGATCGCAAGCCGACCTAGCTGGTTCGCCAAAAGGGCAGTGCCAAACACGGTGGTGGACGGTGTCCAAGGCACCACAGTGCGGGCATGTTGGTTCCAGCCTGTAACCCCATTTGTGTAGCGTAGCCCCCGTTGTGTACCCCCTGTAGAAAATCCTCCTTACCAAACCTCCCCCCCCAAAAAAAAATATATCAGTAACAATTGTCCAGGGTAAGATGTCGCGCAGATCGTGTAAACACATCTCACCTACCATCTCGGGTGGGGTCGCAGTCAGTGAAATACTGCCCCCCTTGGTGGTAGTAAACTCCGCTGGACTTGTCCACTCCCACCCCACCACATTGGTCCAGAGCAGCATGTCCGCCACAGGGTTGGTGCCTCGTCGCCTCCAGCCACGGGCCCCCCCTGCGTTGAGTTGCTCCTGACTCGTCCTGAAGGCTTGGTGGAGGGTCTTCGGGCAGAGATTGTCTACTGCCCTCCACTGTTGGTCGGTGGCTGTCCACCATTCCTTTTTCATATCTCGACGCAACCTCGCTGGCGTGGACAAGTGGGTCTTTCCCAGGCTGTAGGGCACATTGGAGGTCCACTTGGGTCCCTGGTACGAAGATTCCCAGAGCCTTGGCCCCTGGGGTCCGAAGCCGTTTGATGCCCTTGGGATGTAGGCCCACCACATCACACCCATACGTCATGGATGGCTTTTGCCCGCAGAAGAAGAGTTTGCCTTTCTCCTTCATCCCGGCGCACCCCCTGAGAGTTGTCGATGTTTGCTTTGCGTCGTAAAACCGCCTTCCACCTTTTCCGTCGTTGCCTGAGCCCTTTCCTCCCCGTCCCCTCGTCGATGAGCCGTCGTTTGATAGTGGCCTCTCCCAGACTGAAATGCACACCAATATTGACTGCCGTGTCTGTCAAAACCCCGTAGTATTTGCCTAGGGCTGACCTGGCCTGCTCCAGCACCTCTGTTGAGCTGGTCAGAAAACGCAATTTGTGCTACGCCAGGCAAACCCAGACGGGTGGCACATGCATCAAAAACCCGGCTGGCGAGGGTCGCCAGCTGGTTGAGACAGTCCTGAGGCAGGAGGGCAGAAGATTCGAAACCAAGATCATCAACGTGAATGAGGAGGTCCGTATTGGTGGGTTGGGTAACTTCACTAATAATCGGTAACGTGTAGCCTTTGATCTCGTAAGTAGCCGTGCTGCTTCCCGCCACAACCCCCCTTGTCGGGTAGATCTTGGGCGAGCAGGCGTTGTCCAGCATGATTGCCCTGGGCCGCGTGTAGCTGTTGATGGCCGCTCGCAGGGCAAAAAGAGGGAAGTCGCACAACTGGGTTCCCCCCCGCAGGTGGGCATGCGAGACATGTTCGTAACGCTATCTGAGGTCTGCCAAAAGGGTTGCCACAGCCTGGCCAGAGCCGTCGGCCAGGGCCCCCTTCACAGCCTGCCTCCAGACCCCGTCGGTGACGGCCCTTCCCGAGGCCATGTTGAAGGCCTTGTGTTGGCCCGTTTTGCCTTCCCAGTCGGCGCAGTGGGCTCCCAGGGTCCTCGAGTACAGCCTCGTGTAGGAGTGGAAGAACCCTATCGGCCCCCTCCCCTTTTCGGGTTTCTTGAAGAGCTGAACCAGAAGAACCTGGAGTCTGGTGGGCGCGTTCCCTCCCATGTTTTGCAGCGTATAGAGCCCCTAGAGTACCTCCATGGCCCCATCGGAGAGTAGCCCATCGCGCCTCGGGTGGATCCCGTCCGTCGCAATTGCATTAGCTTTGAAACGCCGTGCCGCCTTGCGGAGTTCCTCTCCGCATGGCGCTGCTGGGACAGAGCTCCCAGGTGGTAGCTGCGGCTGGCGGCGCTCAGGTGGTCGGTCGGAACCTTCCCAGGCTGCCTTCAACTGATCCTGCTGGGCCTGGGGGCGAACTTCAAAAGAGGCACTCAGCTCACCAGGTGGCAGAGTAATGCTGTCCTCTGAGAAGTCTGGCGTGTTCTTGGTGTAGGCGTGGGCCCACCTAGCTCCCCCCCTGGAGGGCTTCAGCACGCCGCTGTTTCCATTTCGCAAGCTTATCTGTTTTCTCCTTGGAGAAACTGAGGTCTCGAATAGCCGTGGGGAAGTTTCTCCTGAAGGATCGTTCCATGCTCTGCCCACCTGGCGGTTCCCGGCCCCAAGCCCGTCGGCGCACATGTTGGAGAATAGGCATCCAGAAAACCCTCCTTGCTTCCAGCGATGGGGGAAAAAGGTCTTCACGCCCTTCATCCCTTGCTCTAGAAGCTTCGCAGAGCACGGGCTGTCGGTCGGAGTCGGGAATTTGGTGATCAGGGTGCGAATCTCGGTGGGCCTCCTGGCAAACCAATCCAGGGCCCTAGGTGTGCCGGGGGCCGTGTTGGCCCTGGTCAGAAGCAGCTTCCTGAGGGGAACTTCCTGGACACATATTCAGACCCGCCATCCAGCTTTTTGTGGTTCCCGTCCCCACTCCCCCAGGCACCGTCGGAGTCCTGTACGCCACAACGCAGTTCCTGCCATGATCTCGCGGTCCAGGTTCCATGCGCCTGGTCCAGCAGAGCCTGCAAACGTTGTAGTTCCCCCATCCTCAACAATTCTGAAAGCGCCGTTGTCGTTCCTGTGACCCTCTAGGTACCCCTCGATAGTCTCAAGCAAATCGGTGTAGTCGGGTGGCTGGGGGAGGGGCCCCAGGATCCGAGTATGTCCGATCTTTGAATATTTCTGCAACCTCAAGACAGTGGCAGTACCAGGGTCCTCCAAAAGTTGTAAATACACAGGTCTGTGGTCGGGGATGTCGCTGCTGTAATCAACCCTGACTCGTTTGGTCCCTCGGCCCAACGTGTGGCTCAAACTGAAGTAGTCCAGGCGCGAGGTGTGTCCCCCTTTGGAATAGGTAAACTCACCTGCTGGCCATTCCACTTGGCCGCCAAAGCGGATGGGGTCAATCGCATCCTTCAAAACATCAGGGTGCACGTTGAAGTCCCCGCCAGCTATACATGGGATTCCCCCGCGGAGGATGTGGCTTCCCAAGTCCATCCCAAGCCGTAGGTTTTGCGGTCCCATGCCTGCGATGTCCTTCCAGTAGTTGCAGTGGGGCCCGATGAGCCCCCACTTCCTGGATCTGTAAAATGCATACATGCATCTACCTGGTGCGATGGTGCCGAGGCTGCAAGGGTCTACCCAAATATCTAAATGCTTTCTGGCAATGATGGCCACGCCTCCGCAGGGGTATCCCTTAGCTGACATGAGGCATGGCGTCCAGAAGCTCTGCCATCCCTGCTTCAGCAGGGTCGATTTAATTTCAAAAGTCTGGGCTGCCTACAGTTTGTGCTCCTGTGCAAGCGCAATCTCTGCTTCGCGCTGCGGTGGGAATTCCCTCGTGTTGCTCCACGAGGTGCCGTTAGTCGTACAAATCTTTTAAAGTTCTAGCCCCAGCTGTTCGCCCAGCTGGGAAAGCGCGCGCGTGGGCGCGGGGGGTGGGGGGTGGGGGGGCTGTTTAGCGGGACCTAGATCTCGCTTTTGACCTCTTTTCTGCTCGTTGTCACTGGGCGGCCTTGGCTCCTCCTGGGTCGCTGGCATCAGCTCCCCCCATGGTGGCGCACTTGGCCTGCTCTCCGTTCCGGGTCCCACCAGTCAGCGCCAGGGTCTTGGAGTCCGTGCTCCCTGCTCCTGGCGCACTCTGGTTCGGTCCCTCTGGCGGCGCAGGGGTGAGGGACGCGTCGTTCCCACTGGCCTGCGCTGGCAGGGACGGAGGCCCATGGGGCGGGCGCCATGCCTTGTGGGTCTGACGCGCCTCCCCCCCCCCCCCCCCCTGCGTGCTTACCTAGAGCATTCGCCAAGGCTGAAAAAGCTGTTACTAGTGCAGGGTATGAGGCTGCGGCTTGGCCCATACTTGATAGGGCTGCCTGCAAGCCTCCCAAACTCTCAGTGGCTGCCGTCTGCGGGTTCTGCTGGGTGACTCTCGCCTTTGCCATCCACATTTGTTGTTCTTGTTCCAGCTCAGCAATCTGAAGGTTGACCTTGGTGATTTCATTCTCAATCAACTGAACCGCCCCCATCTTTTTGTCAAGGAAAGCTCTGGCCTCCTCAACTGCCTGCTTGGCTGTCTCGAGGTTGGTTCTCTGCGTCTCCAAGGCCTTCTGCTTGAGACTGAGTTTCTTCGTTACACTCTGGGCCATCTGCGTCGGGGTTTTGTTCGCGTCCCGCTTGATCCTGAGGACCTCAAGCATTTTGCTGGCCTTCTCTACGCAGTCGGGGAGCTCACTCGTCCTCTCGGTGGCATCTACGAAGTGCTGCAGCTGGGTGATCGTGTGGCCATAGTCCGATGCCTGCAGAGCAGGCTGTGTTCCTGAAGGCACAGAAAGGCTGCTGGATCCTGCGGAAACACTTGAGACCGGCCAAGGTGGCTGTTCTCCCGAGCTATCCTGTTGCTGTTTCTTCTTCTTCTCTGATGCTGCCTGGGACGTCCAATGCTGGCCACATTGCCAGCACCACTCCTTATTTAACGATACACTAACCCCGCATTGACAGGTCCATGGGTGGGGAGGAACAGTGTCAGGCTGCGTCGTCGTCCCATTCTTCCCTTTTTTCCCCTGTTTAGCTCCTTTGCCCATGTTGGGCGACGAATGATGCGACTCTAGACGGCGGGCCGCTCCTAGGAGCCTGAGGAGAAGTCGGTCTCGTCCCCTTTGCTCTCGGGCACGACGGTGTCGCGCCGGTTCTCGTAGTCTGGGCGTCCTCACGGGCGCCTGCGGTCGACGGCGCGAAATGCGCCTCGGCGCGCGAGGCTGGGCTGGATGGCGGCGGGCCGCGCTGCGGCGGCGGGGCGACGACGCGGCGACGACCCCTGGGCGCGCGGCTGGCCTCCTCAGCCCAATGCCTTTCCTCCTCCTCCTCCCCCTCCTCCTCCTCCTCCTCCTCCTCCTCCTCCGCCTCCTCCTCCCGAGTTCAGGGGGCCGCGGCTCCAGAGTTCGGGGGGCCCGCGGCCCAGGGGAGGAGGGCCCAGGGATCTGGTTTCGATCTTTCGCCGCACATCCAGACGGTAGGGTTTTTGCTGCTCGCGCCGCGCATCCGCCTCCTTCTCCCGCCTCCCGCCTCCCATCCTCGGACCCACTCGGATTCAGCTGCTCCTGCCAGCACTGCATTCGTCTCAACTCATTGAGACTCAAACTCGCTCATGCGCACACTCAGTTACACTCAGACTGAATCGTGCTTCGCCTCACTCATACGTAGGCGCCGACACAAGCATATTCAGACTCACTCGTGCTCAAACTCGCTTGCACTCAGACTTGCACCCAGATTCCACCATACTCTCCCATCCGTACGCAGACCCAGACCCACGCGTGTTCATACTTACCCATCGCTCACGTCACCGCTACGTTGCAAGCATCGTGGTCGGCCTCCCAACGGGGTGTCGACCGAGGCGCTTCACGGTCCGCAGGAAGTGAAGTCGAGAAGGCGTCTCATGTGACGGCCTTCCTCTTCCTTCTCCTCCTGCTCCTCCTCCTTTCCATCCCTTTACCTTATGAATCAAATCCTCCCTGTCGCACCCTCGGACGTGTCGGCAGGGCGGGCTGGGCGCTTCGCCTGAGACCCCCTCACGACTTATGATCCTGAGGCTTGTTGAGAAGGTGCAGCAGCTTCACGGGTGGAGCGCGGATCGTTTTCAGAGTGTCTTTCCCGCCTTCGCACCGCGCACATTCGTCTTACATGTTTGACCGACTTCCGCAGATGGAGGGCGGCGCCCTTTCAACATGTAGCTCTTTCCTCAGCGACACGCGCGTTCGTCTTTAAAAATGGAAGAACTTCGCAAATGGGGGCGGCGGGGTCTGTTTTCAAAATGAGGCACTCGCCTTCGCACCGCGCACATTCGTCTTAAAAGTTTGCAAACGTTTGGCGGATGGATGGATGATGGTTTTCAACATGGGCTCTCGCCTTAGCGTTCATTTTCAAAATATGGCTCTCACCTTGGCGTCGCGCTCATTCGTCGTAACAGTCTACAGCCGTTTGTAGGATTCGTATGGTTGAAGACCCAGGAATGGTGTTCTGACGCGACTCTGGATCGTCAGGACGCAACAAATCACGTTGATTCGCGGTTTTGCAATCCCAGAAATTGCATTCAGGTGCAATTCAGGAACGTCAGGACGCAACTGTCACGCTGATTGGCGGCGTCGAAGTCCCAAGAACAGCATTCTGGCACGGTTGAGTCGACGGTGAGGAGGTGAGATCGCAACGAAACGGAGATCCCCCCCCACTGGGAAACCGGTTTCGGTTTCGTGTTCGTGTCGCGCGTGCGGACGAAGTAAAGCTGCGTGGGCGGGCGACAGGACCGAACCCTCCACTGGCTAGGGCGCCGCCGGGCCAAAGGACCGCCCCTCACCCCAGGTTGGCCGGCGGTGGCTGGGGGTGTCCCGCCGTGGTGTCCCGATGAGGTCCAAAGGTGCCCCGTGGTGCCCCATGGTGTCCCGCGGTTGCCCGTGGTGTCCCGTAGCTCGGTGTCCCGTGGTGTCCCGTGGTGTCCCGTGAGGTCGATTGTGAGATCGATCGTGAGATCGATAGTGAGCTCGATAGTGAGATCAATAGTAAGATTCACAGTGAGATCTATCAGCAGATGAGTTGTCAGATCGATCGTGAGATGGATAGTGAGATGGATAATGAGATGGATAGTGAAATCGATAGTAGGATCGATTGTGAGATGAATGGTGAGATCGGCAGTGGGCGAGGCCAATAGTGAGATCGATAGTGAGACCGAGAGTGAGATCGAAAGCAAGATCGATCGTGATATCGACAGTGCGACCGAAGAGATCGATAAACATGTCCTGTCGGTGTCCCGTCCCGTCAGTGTTCCGTCGGCGTCCCGTAGTGAGATCGATAGCGAGGTCGATAGTGATATCGGCAGTGCGATCGATTGAGTGAGACGTTGGCTCCTCCCCCTCCCCCGAACCCCCCTGTCACCCGAAGGGTGGCCGTACAGGTGTGTGAATGTCTGGTCAGGCCGGCGGAGGGCTGGGCCGACGACGACGGCGGCGAAATCGTCGTAGTAGTAGTAGGAGTAGTAGTAGTAGTAGTAGTAGTAGTAGTAGTAGTAGTAGTAGTAGTAGTAGTAGTAGTAGTAGTAGTAGTAGTAGTAGTAGTAGTAGTAGTAGTAGTAGTAGTAGTAGTAGTAGTAGTAGTAGTAGTAGTAGTAGTAGTAGTAGTAGTAGTAGTAGTCGTAGTAGTAGTAGTAGTCGTAGTCGTAGTCGTAGTCGTAGTCGTAGTCGTAGTCGTAGTCGTAGTCGTAGTCGTAGTAGTCGTAGTAGTAGTAGTAGTAGTAGTAGTAGTAGTTAGTAGTAGTAGTAGTAGTAGTAGTAGTAGTAGTAGTAGTTAGTAGTAGTAGTAGTAGTAGTAGTAGTAGTAGTAGTAGTAGTAGTAGTAGTAGTAGTAGTAGTAGTAGTAGTAGTAGTAGTAGTAGTAGTAGTAGTAGTAGTAGTAGTAGTAGTAGTAGTAGTAGTAGTAGTAGTAGTAGTAGTAGTAGTAGTAGTAGTAGTAGTAGTAGTAGTAGTAGTAGTAGTAGTAGTAGTAGGCCACCGCCCGGGGCCCGCGCTGTGGAGCGACCACTGCACCCGCGGCACCGCCAGCTCGCCGTACTGCAGGGCCAGGCGGCCGCTGCCGCCCGGGGCCGGCGCGCCGCTGAAGCCGCGCAGGGCGGCCTCCTGAGGAGCTCTCTCGCGCGCGCGAACAGAGGGCCTCCTGAGTTGACACAGACAAGCACCGTGCTGGGAGGTATGGCTTAGGAAGGTGCGGGATACGACTGCGAAGTGAGCACACGATGTGATCATGTCTCCCAACCCCATCCTCCCAACCCGCTTCTCAAGAGCGCCCAACTTTGCGCTCTCACGCCGCCCCCCAGGGAGAAGAGGAGGACGAGGAGTCGGAGCCGAACCGCGAAAGCGCGAATAACTTCGCGCCCTCGAGGGCGCCCCTGATACTCTTCTTCCTGAAGGGTCGGGCCTGCTGGCGCAGAAGGCCCCGGCCGGCTCCCGTTCCCTTCGGGGGCGCGCAAACATGGATTAACGATCCATGGATCTGGCGCGCGGTCGCCAGATCCATGGATCGGGGGATGTGCCCGCTCCAAAATGCGGCCGGTGCCGCCTCGTTCGGCGGCGGAACTCCGCGAAATTTCCCCTGGAAACGGGAGCCGTCGCTCATCCACGCCCCCTTCATCCATGTCTGCGATCGCCTGACCAGAAAAAAACACGTGTGTGTGTGTTTTCCCACAGTGCATTTTTTTCCCACAGTGTGTGTTTTTCCCACATGTTTTTTGAATGTTTTTGAATGTTTTTTTTGTGTTTGCGTGTTCTATATTATTATTATTATTATTATTATTATTATTATTATTATTATTATTATTATTATTATTATTATTATTATTATTATTATTATTATTATTATTGTTATTATTGTTATTATTGTTATTATTGTTATTATTATTCTTCTATATATATTGTGTTTTTCCCCACAGGCCCTGCAGCCGCGGGGTGGACCGCGGGCGCTGCCGGAGCTCCCCCCCGCCTCTGCGGGGCGCTCCGCCAGGCCGGGCGCTCGCCCGCCAGGGCGCTCGGCCGCGCGAGCCCGCGGGCCGCGCGGGGGGCCCCCGCGGGCGGGAAAAGCGCGCGCGGCCACTCTGTAAGAACGGAGGCATCTCCTCGTCGCCACGGCTGGATCTGGGTCAGGATGGACCCAGGGAGGCGTCTGGGGACGGATTTTGAGCGGGTTTGGGCTGGGCGCGTTCCGCCGTTGTTGTCTCAACTGGCCCTTCTCCAAATCAAAGGAAGGGCAATGCAGGGCAAGCCCAGGCGCGCGCGGCCACTCTGTAAGAACGGTTTTTTGAAGGCAGATCTGCCTTCAAAAAACCGTTCTTACAGAGTGGACCATTTCTTGAAGGCAGATCTGCCTTCAGAAAACCGTTCTTACAGAGTGGACCATTTCTTGAAGGCAGATCCGCCTTCGAAAAACCGTTCTTGCAGGGCGCTCGCCCGCCAAGGCGCTCGGCCGCGCGAGCCCGTGGGCCGCGCCGGGGGCCCCCGCGGGCGGGAAACGCGCGCGCGGCCACGGGCGCGGCAGCGGCGCGAGCGCCGTGGGCGGGGCGGCCGTGCAGCTCGGCCGCATCGTGTGCTGGGCCCTGCGCGAAGTCACCGTCGGCGGGCCTGCGGGCGCTGGAAGGTCGGGCGGCGCGCCGCCGCGAGGCAGGGGCGCCGGTTCGGTGGCGAGCTGGGGCCCCAGGGAGAGCGGAGGGGGAGGCAGGGAGGGCGGCCGCAGAATGAGGACGAGGAGGGTAATCGGCGCCACGTCGGCGCGAGGCCTGGGAGCACTGCGGATGCATCAGTGTGCCAGCGGAGGATGACGAGCGCGGGTGCGAAGGAGGGCGGAGAGGGCCTCGTCCTCGTCCTCGTTCTTCTCGTCCTCGCCACCTTCAGCAAGAGTGACCTTCGGTGCGCGGCTTTGGTCGGAAGAGGGCCAAAGGCAGCCCTCCCTGATGTTAATCGTCCTTTTCGGGCCTCCTGGAGGCATCTCCTCGTCGCCACGGCTGGATCTGGGTCAGGATGGACCCAGGGAGGCGTCTGGGGACGGATTTTGAGCGGGTTTGGGCTGGGCGCGTTCCGCCGTTGTTGTCTCAACTGGCCCTTCTCAAAATCAAAGGAAGGGCAATGCAGGGCAAGCCCAGGCGCGCGCAAGCCGATAATGTCGCTTCGCGTTCAACGATCGGGGAACCCTTGAGGGCCGCTCTCTCAAGGCCACTCTGGTTGAAAAAGGCCACTCTGACGCGCAACCGCAACTGGCATATCGAAGGGGGTCCGAGCATGGAGGGATCGAGCGGGCTCGAGGATCGATCGATCCTCGAGGTCGTTCGACCCTCGATGCTCCTCGAGGAGGCCTGGGGATTGAGGACGGCCGATGGTCGAGGAGCCCCGAGCCCGCGAGGCACCGAGGAAGCCCGAGCCGTCGGGAGGCCGCAACATAGACGTACATACACACATACATACATGCAGACAGACAGACGGACAGACAGACAGGCAGGCAAGCAGACAAACAGGCAGACAGGAGGCAGGTAGGCAGACATACATGTTTACCTACTCATGTACATACCCACACACCCACACGGACAGACAGACAGACTGACTGACAGACAGACAGACAGATAGACAGACAGACAAACAGACAAACAGACAGACAGGCAGACCGACAGACAGACAGACAGACAGGCAGGCAGACACACATGCATGCATGCAGGCATGCATATACAAAACGTACACGCCACGCCGCTCGGTCGGCCGAGGAACTCCGTGTAGAGACGCCCCAGGGCTGCCTGGCCTCTGGGGCTCTGGGGCGCCCGTGCACCCACCCCCTCCGCCGACCTCTGCCCGCGGGGCGCCCGGGCGGGGCGGCCCGGGCGGCGGCCTCCAGGACGGCGGCCAAGCCCGCCAGGTGCTCCACGCCGCGCTCGCCGGCGCGGAGCAGTCGGGCGATGCGGATGGTCCTGCCGAGGCCGGCGGCGGTCGCGGGCGGGCGGCCTGGTCGGCCCCCGAGCGGGCAGGCGGCGGGAGAGGAGCATCGAAAGGGTGGGGGTGTTCGTCATGGGAAGGGCTCGTCGCGGAAGGGGTCGGTTAGGCCGCCCAGCCTGACGTCGTCGTCGCCGCCGTCACAGATCGAGGGTCGGGGTTCGAGGATATTTGTGTCGACGTTTCTCACCGATTTCTGTTGGCTTATAGGCGGCGAGATTTCCCTGGGAATTCTGATCAAAAAGCAACCCAAAACAATGCTGGGGGGCGAGCGGCATCGGCCCGAGTCGGGTGTTGCCAGATGTGGCCCTGCCCCAATGTAGCCTAGGCTCTTCCAAGGATGGCCCAGGTGGCCTCCAGAGCGCCTCTGACGAAACCCAGGGGGCCCCAGTTTGCAGGCAGCTAGGGGCACCCTGGACCACCTCGATACTCCTCAAACCTCCACTGGGGACCGAAGGTGTCCTTGGGCGCCGAGACAATCGTGATGTTGTGACCGTTGTCGCCGCGTCCTCGCAATCGCCGCATGAAAAGAAACGCATGTGAGGGACTCTTTTGTCTCACCAAGGCTCAAGGCCCCTGGACGGTCTGAACATACATGTCCACAGCGCGCATTATGAGCTGTACGTGTACACATCAGTATACGCAAGCACTGCGAATCGCACGGGTCTACATTTTCAGCTCCAAGATGCACCCTCGGGCCTGCGCGTCGACTCGCAGCAAGGCTCGCTACGTTACTGCAAAAAGATTCAGCCGGTCGAATCTCGGGTGTCAGAGACATGCGGCGCCAGCGCGCTCAAAGGTCAATCCTAGGTCTGCCTCGATCCTTTGCACTTGTCATCCCTGTTAGGCTCTGCCTTCCCAAAACACATGGGCCTGGCCGCGCGCTTCTTGTCCTCGGCACGCCTCCGATTCCTCCCCGCCCACTCAGGGGCGTCCTGGTCCTTCAGCGCCTTGAAGCACGCCCTGCGCTGCACCTTCTCCTTGTACTGGTTGCTTCTCTGAGTCGTGAGCCACTCTGGTCGGTGCTCGCAGGTAGCTGGGTCCAACGCCGGCTCCTTCGCCGTCTGCTTGTCGTAGATCTGGTGCTTAACGTGCTTGGTCTTATCGCAAGCCTGGCTTGGGACCGCTTTCTGTGTCGTTGCTGAGGGCTCGGAGCGTGTAGGAGATGACGGGCTTGCCACGCCCTTAGCTTTGCCTTTGCCTTTCGCTGGGATGAAGATCTCGTCGTCCGCTTCTTTGCGCAGCCATCCTCGTGCGTTCTCCAACCGGAACTGTCTTGCCGGAGCTGTCTTGCCATCTCCCTGAAGTGACGATGCCGATTGTCCAGGTACTTGATGCCTGGCTGCCTTGCGGAGTCGTGGTCCACGCTCGCACTGGTCCACCGCCATGCGACATACTGCACATACCGCCATCGCAACTGCTGTTCCAGCTGGTCCCTTCACGATCAAGAGCTCGGAATCGGTGCCGTCCTCGTAGTGGTCGTCATCCTCCTTCGCCGCTGATCGTTCCGCTCTGGCGCGAGCGCCTGCTGCTCGAGGTCCTCGGCGCTTGGATCGTCGATGTCCAGCCGCTTGGCGATGTCGCCCAGGAGAGTGTGTCCCCGCGCGAAATCGTCGCGTAAACTCGTGAGTGGTCCCTTCGTGGGAGTGTAGATCGTGATCAGCTTCTTGATCAATTCAAATATTTTCCGCCGTCTCTGCGCATTCACAAGGCCATGCCCGCCGACCATATCCTCAATCGTGTAGTAGCACGGGTCGTCCGCCGTCTGAACGACCATAATGCGCCACTTGAGATTCCACTTTAAATCCACTCTTGGTCATCTTAACTCCGTATCGTACGTCAACCAAGGCCTCGTCGTAGTAAGCGTAGCCCTCAGTGGTGTACGCCTGCTGCGCTGGTCTGACTCGCTTCGGATACTTGGCTCCGTAGTGCTCGCCGCGCTCGCCCTGCAGCTGATACCTCGTCTGAGCGACTGCCTGGTCGGCCTCTAGTTCTTCGGTGGGCCTGTAATGGCCTGTCTTCGGCGCGTCGCGCATGGTGTTCAACCGCCCGAGCGTCGCTCTTGGTCCGACAGTCGGCCTGCGTCTGTCGTGTGTTATCCACTCGGAGACAGGGTTCGATTCCTCAATGTCGTTGCGAAGCGCCTCGATGTCGATCAATCGCCTGCGTTCGCCAGGAATCGCGCCGCTCTCCTGTAACAAGTCGTTCAGCGACTTGCAATCCGCCGCGTGGATCATCTGGACGTTTGCCGCGTCATCGGCGTGTGTCCGGCAATCCAAGTCGGACTGTGTCTCGGCAAGATGAGCTCGCATGAGATCTCCGCTCTCGACTGCCTCCAGGGCTGCCGTGGTCTCCGCCGTGAGGGTGCTACGAACAACTCGTCTGACGCGATGATCTTCATGTCGACGGCGTGACTTTCGCCGGTTGGCCTCGCGCGAACTTGTCATCCACCTTCTCGGCTATCGGGATGTTGAGCCCGGCCTGGCTGGTCGTCTCGTTCTCGCCCGCGCTGGCGAAGCTAGAGTCGCCGCTCGCGAGCTCGATGTTTTGGAGCATGATCTCTACCTGATACGTCCTCGCATCTGCGATCATCTGGTTGATCTCTATGGTATCCTGCGTGGTGCTCTCCAGGTTGCGCGCTCGCGCCTGGCTCTCAACCGGCTGGAACGCGGGGTCCATTTTCGTAGATCTGACCACTGCACTTGTCAATAACTCGATGTATCGCTTGACGTTCCTCTGCCGTGATCTGGTTCTCGTTCTGCTTGCGTCGTGCCGCGCTCAGAGGTGGACGCTCGATGCTCTATGTGCATTCCTGCCTGGGTGCAGGACATGCAGACCTGGTCGGTCCACGTGAGGTACCCCCCCAATGATGCAAGCCCTGCTCGATGCCGTGCCACTTGCGGTGGCGGTGCGCCCCCCATGAACGCTGCGACCTGGTTCTGGGGGAACCCCGGGGGTCCCGCGTTCAGCTCGATGAGCCCCTGGAAAGCCCGAGCGCCTTGCGCGACTCGCCCCTTGAGACGAAGTCTGCGGGGCAGTACTTTGTTCGTGATGCTCCCTGCAGTGGCCGAAAGGTGTCGCGACGCTCCTCGTGCCACAGCAGCCTAGTGGTGCGTCGCCGAGTCCGTAGATGCCCTTTTTCCCCCTGGAGTCTCGTACCTTCGGGGACGCGAGGCCACCCGTGCTCCAGTGCCGCAGGTAGTCCACCCTTCGTGGCCTAGAATAACACGCGCCTTGTCTCGCCCAGGTTAGCGGCCGCTGAGGAAGGCTGAGTCCACGTCTCCTTGTTCAATCGTCCAGTCGCGCTTGCTCGCCGTGTCCAAGATGACAACGGCCGTCGCCGCGTCGGTTCATGTGGGCGCATCCGTCTTCATACCGCCTGCGAGGAGCTGCTTGTCGAGCACCCCGGCGCGGTATTCCTTGGCCTGTGGAGTGTGGTCGTTGGGCGACAGGTTCCCGCGGGTGGCGTCGTTCTCGTCAGGATGTAGTTGTCGCGTGGGCAATGCTTCGGACGGGTCGACCGTCTTGAGAACTGCGTCAGTGGGGATCGCCACTGGATCGCACTTGATCCAATGATTCCACTCGGCCTTGTCGGATGCTTCGAACGCCGACTTCCGCTCGGCAAGAATGCGACGTATTTCCGTACACTTTTTGGCCATTGGCTGCTTGATCCTCGCCTTCACGGCCCGCCTCGCCAGATGTGCATCGCGTGTCCAGTCCTGCGCTTAGAGGGCGAGGTCGTCGTCCATGTCATCCATAGGGTTTGTTTTGGGCCTCGTAACTCGTGCCCTTGATTTCCATGCGTCGGTCCATGCGTCGTCGATCAAGGTCGATGTCCTTCATGAACGACCGTTTCCTGCATGGTCTTTCTTCTCCAGCTGGAACTGATGCTGGCGCGCTTGGCTGTCCAAGTTCCAGACGTTCCGGGGTGCGTCGGAGGTGCTTCCGTGGTGGGCCCTGGTCCAGCTGGCATCGGCAGGTGGATCTTGTAGTTCAGGTGCCGCTGGTGAGACGTGTATCTCGTCTTCGGGTATCTCGCTGATGATGGGGTCCGCATCTCGAGGTCAGAGTTGCGGTTCGGGGCGTACTGCAGGTGCTGGTAGTTGTGGCTCGCGTCGAGGAACCAGTGATCTCGGTGATGACGTCGGCGCTGGCATGCGGTCCTCCATCTCGACGTCCTCGCGTGCTTCGCCACTTGCGTCTTCGATCTTACTGGGGGAGCCCCTTCCCCTCATGCACCGCGCCGCGCTGCATCGTCGAGCCGCCTCTCCACTGACCTATAACTGTTTGACTACATCCTCGTTCTCGACCATCTCCGACTCAGCCCGACTGGCGCGCCGTTACTGTTCAGGTGTAGCCAGCGCTGGTTTTCCGATATCCGACGCACGTAGTTTAGTCCGTCCCTGTAGGGCCAAGGTGGTGGTCGGCCCCCATCCAACACTGTTTCCCCTGCAGTCGCTTCGACTTGATGTGCGTCGCCTCGCGCCAGTAAAAGCCCAACTGTCCTGGTTGGAATCTGTTCGCCTCGTTGAAGTTTAGCGTCTTGGGTGGGCCAGCCCATGGTGGCCAGATCTGCGTAAAACACTTGAATGCTTCCATGCCGCCAATGGGTCGCACTGCGCACGTCGGGGCGATGACCCGAAGCGTCGTCGATGATGGCCGTCGCCATCAGCCTGGTGCCGTCCGAGCGCATGAACTCGGCCTTATCGAGGAGCCCTCTCCTCTTCCTCCTCCTCCTCCTCCTCCTTCCCTCCACCATGTTGTTGCGACTGAACCACGCCTCAAGAATTTGCAGCACGACCTGCTTCGACAGTGCCCCCTTCGAGCGGACGGTGAAGAGAATCGAGCCGACATTCCTCTCGAAGTCTAGAGTGCGGGTTTCTGTGCGACGCCGTTTTTGACTTCGCCGGGTGCGCCCATGAGGTGGTCGACCTAATCCTCCAGCTTTTTGGTCCGATTGTCCGAGTTCTCGATGTCC